AAACCTTTCCAGTAAGTATCTCTTAGAATCCAAACCATAAAGCTCAGTGTTGAACCCAAGGACTAATGGTAGCATACTTTTAGGAAATAATTTTCATATTGTCGATTCAATTGGTTTAAGCTCAGCATAAAAGAAACAAGAACCTTGCTATCACTATGTCATACAAAGTTTGCTGACCCAGTTTGGCTCTTGTTAGCTTCTGCAGTTTTTTTATCCACAGTTATAATTTCTTAACTGCTAAGTCACTTGCTTATCTCTTTTCATTTTCTTTGCAAACTGGAGTTGAAACTACTCAGTTCTGAGCTATAATCTTTGGGCTGGCTGAATATGACTGTGTTTATATCCTCTTCATAGTCCTGTGCAATGTTTTTATCACCCCCTGAGCTGAAGCACAATAATTCATTCTTGCTGTCAGAATGTGACTTTGGAGCATTCATCTTTTTATTAAACTACAGGGTGGTGTTGACAGAAATCTACTTTTGTCATTGCTCTTCAGCTGAACTTTGTCTGAGGCAGAAGGTCCTATTCTACTTTGAGGAATGTTTATAATTAAAGGACCATTCTTCAAACTTACTAAGACACTTTTTCTTAGTGTTTTGTTAGTTCTAAAGCTAGTTTGACCATCTTGCAAAGAGTTTTCTATTCTGAAAAGAAGTAGCTTCATTCCCACCTTCTGGAGCAGAGCTGATTTTCAAGGATTAGTCCTGGATGCTCAGGAGCTTGATACCTGCACTGATTCAGCTCTGGTGAAGCCTCCTTGGCTCCATCAATGGCAGATGACATCCTGGTGGAAGTACATACAAGAGGGAGAGACCACATGGCAGGCAGGAGGCTGAAGGCCCCAAATCATTGTGCTATTACAGATGAAAAGGGACTAAACCACTCAGGTGCAGACATTATCTGTTCCAATTCCCCTCTTCTCCCTCTTTTTTTTTTTTTTTTTTTTTTTTTGCTGTGCTGGTGATCAAACCCAGGGTGTTAAGCAAACTAGGGAAGTGGTACACCAGCAACACTTAATCTCTTTTTAACTATTCTAATTTACCTTCCCACTAGAATACTTGGGAATTTTTATGGCAATTAGGCACAAAAATCAGTACATGTGGCCTGATTTCAACTGTGAAAAACAATGTGAAAAAAACATGTAAGCAATAGTTTATCCTACAACTCATTGCTTAAAAACTTCTCTCTGGGTAGCAAGATTCAGATTTTTGTAAAAACAAAAAAATAGATGAAATTTCATAAATTGCCATGATCAGAATGGTGTAAAAAATAATATACAGGAACAAAAGTTAGAAGAAAGTGCATACTTAATAGTAGTTTCCTCCTTATGATACAACTAAAGATGATTTATTTTATTCTTTCTATTTCTTGTACACCCTAAATTTTCAAAATAAATATTTAAAACTTCACTATATTTTGCAGAAACATGACACCATCAATAACAGAATCAACTGTAAATAGCTCAGATACAGAACATCAGTCTTCTGTGGTCAACCTCCAACCTAATCTTCTCATGCTTTATTTTTCACATTTTGTTGTTATCTTTCATTTCAAAAAAAAAAGTAGCTGCCACCTTCTACACACTCCAGCTTTTTGTTTTCAGTTCTGGGAATCAAACCCAAGATCTGATTCAGGGTAAGCAAGAGCTCTACCACTGAGCTATGTCCCTAGCCCAGGACTCTAGAAATTTCTTGACTCTGGGTCGTTGTCTATACTACTCCTAAATTTTCCTCCATGTCTAAATCATTACAAATTCATCATATTTGCTGCTTGATCTACGGTTTTTTCTAAAGTAAGCACCTTCTGCTCGACTCCTATACAATTTCTTATAAAGAAATTTTCCCTTCATTTTTTGTTTCTTCCTTTGTGTGGTTATTTTTTCTAGTTTTGGAGAAAGCTAATTTTAAATTAATTTGTCACTTTTTTCTAAATTTCTCATTTAATTTTTGTTGTTGTTGCTGTTTGAGACAGGATCTCACCATGTAGCCCAGGCTAGCCTGGAACTGACTATCCTCCTACGTCAGTCTACCAAGTGTTGGAGTTATAGGTATGCATCACCACCCTTGACTTTCTTAAATTTTATCACCAAAGGTTTGCTTGTAATCTGAATATTTTGAAACATTTAAGATTCAAATACTTGATAAATTTGTGAATAGTTGGATGATTATATCTGCTGGCTATAGTAGGGAACAAATGTCACGTCTGACTAGTCACAGAAAAGTCTGATAATCAGGAAGATTAATCAGACAGAACGTTATTTGAACTAACTGCAGCTTTGGAACTCAAGTTTGGATCTGATTGAATTTAAGCTTAATTCCAGGCCTCTGATCACTGGGAAATCAGATTTATAAAACCATCCACTCTCTACCCTTATATATACTAAGCCATGTGATAAATGATTACATTTTCATTTCTGATTTGAAAATGCCATTTTTTTCTCTAATGGTCACAGTTTCTTTCTACATTTGATGTTTTAATTCATCCTCCCCCCCCCTTCCTTTTCTGCTTTCCTTCTCCTCCCTTCCTCTCCCTTCATTCTTCCACTCAGTTCTTTAATGTACTCATCCCTTTTCATTAAGGAATTGCCTTTCAACATTTAATCAATTATTTATTTCATTGTTAGAAATCTCCCAGTTCCTACCATTTGAGTTTGGGTATTTTGAAAACACATGAATGAGGACTGAGTCTTTAATTTGTTCTTTTATCAGAAAAATTTAAGATGATAGCTTGAATCTTTTTTCTGTGGAAACAGAACTTTTAAAGATTTTGTTATTGGAGATTAGAAACATCTGCATGGTTTATAAATTTTCTAACTTGTAATTTATCTATTCAACTTCTGCTGTGTCTTTCATCCATAATTAATATATTAATTAATTCTCTGGGCAATTTGTTGAGTACCTACTATATGGCAGATACCATGCTCAGTGCTGTGAACATAGAATCAAGGAGACATGGCTTGTCCCCACAGGACACCTTGAGTAAAATAGGGGAGAAGATAAGTAAACTGGTATACTCCAGGTCAGTGTGAAAAATGCACTAACAGAGTCAGGTGAAAGGTGCTAGGGAAAACTAGGTACTAAATCTTCCTGAGACTCAGAAAGACCTCTCAGGGAAGGCTTTGAAGCTATTTTAAAAGAAGTACCATTCTACATTGGGAGATTTGCATTTGTCTCAGGAACATGGCCCATTTTAATGATCATATCTGGACAATTGGGAAAATAAGTATGACATCTTTCATGATTCCCTCTAAACTTCAAATATGTTTTGTTAGTTATAGTTCCAGAGAAGACTTAGGAAGGAAAACCCTTAGTCTAGAAGGAATTGTGGCTGCCACAGACCTTCTGCATTTTATTTCTCACTCCTTTATCTATGTGGTTCAGTTGCTCCTTCCTGGAATTCATATCTGGTACCTCTTACACTCTCACCCCCTTCTCCTCACATTGGCAGGGACAAATAATTCTCCTTTTTTTCATCCAAGACAAAATTCAGAACTTTTTCCCTCCAAGCAATAGAGAATTATAGAACACTGGTTTTGAACTGTCTTTACACAGAACCCATCCCCAAAGTAAATGATTAAATTTGGAGTGTGGCCTTCTGCTAAGGGGCCATAAGGCCTCTGCTTTGCACCGCTAGTGTTAGAGACCTCACTCCCAACAAGGAATCCTATTAGATTTTTCATATATAATGGGTGAAAACATTCCAATGATTATCAAGAATTATACAAAATAAAACAAAAAAGGAAAATACAAATGAGATGCAAATGGGAGGGGCAAATTTTACACCTACCAAGTGCACAATGCTTTAATTCATCATGCCACTTAGTTCTCACTCCCAACATGTTCTGCCTTTTTGCAAACAAATAATCAAACAAGCAAAGAAAACTCAAGCAATATGTGGTAGCCAGGGAAGGGTGGAGGAGGTGGGCAGGAGCAGGTGGTGACAAGTGTGAAAAGTTTAGCAAAATTTTTTCCTCTGCGAATGTTTCATTTGTTATGTACCAATGAAGTGACTGACACTAATTGACAAAGGCAAGGCAAGGCAAGGCAAGGCAAGGCAAGGCAAGGCAAGAAAGGGAACAGAAAGGGAAAAAGAAGAACAAGCAGTAAGACCATGAAGTAAAAGCTTAGGATGGCTTTTTAAAATGTCAAATCATCTACTAATTTGAATTTAAGGGCAAGGGGAAAAGATTGAAAGAAAGTATATAAGATAAAACCAGGAGAATTTCAGTCCAGTGAGCAATGTAATTCATCTTAATTCTACAAATATTTATGGACTTGCTATTATGTGTCTATCATCCATTACCAAATTGGGTACAGAATTAAAGTAACCCAAAAAAGCAAGATATTCCTTGCTCTTTCCTGCCTAGCAGATTTTCCTTCTTAAGGATTAGTAAATCCAAACAGAAATCAATTGTAGGTATTTTAAATCAAAGACTCAAAAATGAATTTCCTCAAGATATTATGTCCTATATTAATAGAAAGTAGTAACATAGAGTATATACTGTAGCTATATATGCACAACTTTTCCATTATGTCTTATTATATTCATTTTAATATAAGTTCTTCCTAAAATAGAGCTGCTTGTAAAGTTTTGCACAGTTCCGACTTTTTCCACGTCAGTGTGCTTCTCCAGTCAAACACTCAAAGTATAAATTGTTTAGGGAATTCTAGTCAATTTTTCCAGCATTGGAAAAAAAATGTTCTAGTTTTCTCTTTTGCCAAGACAGGAAGCATTTCCTGGAGGTTAATCACTGTTTTGCCTTGCAAAATTGAGAAGGTTGAGAGAAATTAGTAGATTGTATCATCCCATGTTGAATTTGGAATTTCTGGAAATGGTCCTGCTGCCGTTTGGATGAGAGCAATGATGACTCAAGATGTGGGTGATCTAAACAAACACTATCACTCTATAAAAGTTGAGCTTGAGCTCTGGAGTGTAGACCTAGGAGATAGGCAGAGAGCAAGGCGTTCAGGCAACGTTAAGGCTCAGTGTAGCTGGTAGAAATGAGGACTCTTTCCTTCCTACTCTGGCTATGTGTGGCAGTTTGCTCAGCCTATCCATTGGACAGAGCTGCAAAGGACGAGGCTGACAACATGGAACTTCTTGAGGTAATTAATGGAAACAGCCGTCACACTTACTGGCAGGGCATAGTGGGGAGACCAGCTCTGGCTTCCATAGGATGGTTTGACTTACTACGCAGGAATGCTTCTGGGGTGGAAATGTGGAAAGGTCTCAGGGTCACACTACTTGGGTTCCTCTTTTATGTAGGAAGAAACAAAGGTCAAAATCATGAAAGATTTTATTTCTGAGGTATTTCTGATCCTAACAGAAGCAGCATTAGACGAGGCACATGAATAACAAATGAAGACTATTAACTGTTTTGTCTTGGCACCTTTTTGGGTATTTTAATCCAATGTATTTTTAGCTAAGTGTTTACAGTGTTGATATCATGTTTACACAAAGGAATTTGTCCAACTTCTTTTTGTAAGCCAGGTCCTTGTGAGGAGCATAAACCGGAAAATTGAGGAAATTAAATAGATTTGCCTGAAATATACAAATATGTTCAAAGAGGTTTATTGGTCCATTTTGTTTTTCATCCTTAAGGGCACTAGATATTAACCTCAATTTTCCACTTCACTTTCATTGCTTTGGTAGCAAACTAAGAAAGCAGAGACATTTATTTACAAAAGTAAAGCAGAGGTAAGGGGTGAGTCTGTCACTGAAAAGTTAAGTGAAATATGATATTTATTATTTCAGCAAATTAGAGAAATAGTTCAAATAAAGAAAAGTGAGCAACTACAAAAATAGCAATTGCCAAAGATTATAAAATGACCTAAAAACTATACTTATTTCATTAGCGATACCTAGAAAACTTCTACAACCTTAAAAAAGACGTAAAGCAATTTGTTAGAAGAAAGAACAGTAGCCCTGTTGTTAACAAAATCCAAGAAATGCAGAAGTTCCTTGGGTTGGAGGTGACGGGGAAGCTGGACTCCAACACTTTGGAGGTGATACAGAAGCCCAGGTGTGGCGTTCCGGACGCTGGTCAGTTCAGTACCTTTCCTGGTACGCCAAAGTGGACGAAAACTCACCTGACTTACAGGTAATGGATCTAAAGAGTTGTTTTTTTTTTTTTTTAACATAATGTTGAAATTTTATAAGGTGTAGCATTATAGAAAGTGTTACCTTCCTCACTTTTTTCTCACCCAGGATTGTGAATTACACACTGGATTTGCCAAGAGATGTGGTTGATTCTGCCATCGAGAAAGCTCTGAGAGTCTGGGCGGAGGTGACACCACTCACATTCTCCAGGCTGCAAGAAGGAGAGGCTGACATCATGATCTCCTTCGCAGTTAGAGGTAAAAATAAATAAAAGCAAAACCTAACAAAACTCACATTTCTCTGGTAGTTTTTATTGAGAAAGGATTAGAGAGATCCCAATTACCTCTTTTTCCAATTAAATCTTTTCCTATTAGAACATGGAGACTTTTACCCTTTTGATGGACCTGGAGCAGTTCTGGCTCATGCCTATCCACCTGGGCCCGGCATTAATGGAGATGCTCACTTTGACGATGATGAACAATGGACAGATGACACAACAGGTTAGACACACATCTCACAGAAGGATTTAGCATTCTTTCTTTTAATATTTAAAAACTCCTAACTAATCCAGAATACTGAAGAAATGATATGTGTTGGATTTTCAGTGCCTCAAGGATCAGTAGAATATATTTTTATGTTAATCATTACTGAGTGCATTTTCAGATGCTTAGAAAAATCTATCCCCTGCCCTGGTAAGCACAATATAGGAAATATAATTAGCTCATTTCTTAAACAATTGTGGGTATTGTGTGATCTGGAGGCCACCATTATTTAAAACAATGTCTCCTTACATCTAATTCAGATATGCAAAGGATATATTGCACCGAATCTATATTAAAATGAGTCCTGGATATTGCTTTTGTATCTCCCTCCTTATTTTACTTTTTAAAACAGAAATCTGAATTAAATTTCAGAAACTGGGGTGCTCCTTTTTAGTTTCTTCTGGCTAAGCTAACATTTTTGCTACCTCTAGGTTAAGAAGAATTTTTAGGGATTTCTGAAAGAAATGAATCCCCAAATACAGTGTCCAAAGTGCTCAAGTAGAAGAATGCTTCTCAGTCCATAACTTTGGAAAACAGCTGTCAATGTTTTTGATAATTTGGCTACAACAATAGTATTACTTCTGAAATTTAATTGGGATTTATAATTGAAATATATACAGGAGATCTGTAGAAAATAGGAATGTGTTTCATTATGTATAAAATTTGTGTTTTGGTTGAATTTACATCTTCCTGCAAAGGAACCTTCCCTCAAAGACTCAAGTGAGAACATTCTTAGGCTCACAAAATATACAAGCAATATTTGCAAAGTAAAGTAGATTTATTTGTTATGTCAACCGCAATTACCCAATGCCTTCCAATTTTAGCATAGTGGGTTTTTTTAATATACTGTGAAGAAAAACATCTGAATACAGCTGGTGTTCCTATGTTCAGAATCTCTTTTGTAACAAATTCTAGACATGATTGGGCATGTTATGTCTTAAACCAATTTTGCAAATCCTATGACATCTATCATTATTTGTGTTTTTGGACACCTTAAGTATGTACCCATGATGAGGTTGAAAAACTATGCAGGCAATACTCCAATAGAAAGTAACAGGATTATGGTTGTTTACAGATTTCAGGATTGAGATGAAAACTCTGGTCTTTGTAGCTGAGACTGCAACTGGCAAATGCCAACACACTGAGACAGTGTTCATCTTTTCATGAACAAAGAAAGAGAAATATTTTTGATATGCTAAATATGTGGGTTTATTCCATTCTTGAGCACAAGACAAGGGACCTGGTCATCCTAGGGTTAAGAGGCCCTTGAGACTGGAGGGGTGGGGGGCAGTTGGATATGCTTGTGTACTTTCTCTCAGAGACTGATTTCAAATGTGGGTCTTAAGATACACTTGACTTTCAGTTAAGTATATAATCTGTCAAATTTCCCAAGCAAATAATCATGGTGAATAGGAGCCTGAGTGGCTCTAGAAGTAAATAAACGCGTTGCACAACTGGCCTGTGCAATATGCATGTATTTAAGGACTAGGAAATTACTAGTAATGATTGCTTCAATAGGGACCAATTTGTTCCTGGTTGCTGCTCATGAACTTGGCCACTCCCTGGGTCTCTTTCACTCGGCCAACACTGAAGCTTTGATGTACCCAGTCTATAAGTCTGCCACCAACCTGGCCCGGTTCCGCCTTTCTCAAGATGATGTGGATGGCATTCAGTCTCTCTACGGTGAGTGGAACTCTGCAATGAAGCTTTTGTGACGAGGCTCTCAGCCCCTTGAGAACAAGAAGCATGTGAATAGACAGACACTCCATGTTTCTCCTAACATTTGCCTGTCTAATCTGTTCCCCTTAGGTCCTCCCCCTCCCTCCTCTGCCAACCCTGCGGTGCCCACCAAATCTGCCCCTCAAGAATCTGGGACACTAGACAAGTGCGATGCTGCTTTGTCCTTCGATGCAATCAGCACCCTGAGGGGAGAAATCTTGTTCTTTAAAGACAGGTCAGTCTAGAAAACCATGTTTCCTCTGTTCTTATGATGTGAGATGCTTAGACAGCACCACAAATGGATGCTAGATAGAGCTTGGAATCATTCAGGTCTACTGATGCTCTTCCTAAACTCATCAAGACCATTTTTGAACTCAGGATGGTCTGATTCTTTTTCTTGAATGTTGCTTCCAAGTCTCCTAAGTTGTGATTTCTTTTCAAAAATGATCCCAAGATAAGCGTGGCATGCAATCAATGAATTCACTTAATACTGGATGAGTATGTCTGTGATAAAACATTCACACTGCACAAATGGAAGCTAAATGCTTCGGTGCTGTGGATCTTCCCATATTCATCCACATCCAAGGCCTCTTGTCTCCAGACCAGAACTGCTTCATGGCGTGAGAATGTACTTACACACCTTCGCGCGCACACGCTCCCACACCCACATGCACGCTGTCCATCTTTCCAAAAGGTGTGAATTATAGTTTAGCTAGATGCTGTTTTGGGTGACTTGAAGGTAGTTAAAAGCTTACATAGGCTAATTAGCTGGCATGGGAAGATAACTTTGCTTTCACAGAAGATGCAGCTCTGGAATGCAGCAGGTCCACTTCAGTCTTCTGAAAATGAAGAGGAAAGATATTCCTATAAAAGTTGTACCTGATTTCTGTCTGCCATTGACCTAGAAGATGAGGGATGGGAGAACCTGGCAGAAGCAGGACAGTCAGGGAAAGTATGCGAGAGATAGAAGAGTAGTTTTCACTTCTCACTTCTTTTCACGTTTCAGGCATTTTTGGCGCAAATCGCTCAGGATCCTCGAGCCTGGGTTTTATTCTATCTCTTCATTTTGGCCATCCCTTCCTTCTGGCATAGATGCTGCATATGAAGTTATTAGCAAGGATACTGTTTTCATTTTTAAAGGTAAATTGTTATATAAACATTTCTTTCACTTGCTGATATAAACCCTTTAACATGAAAATTGAATAGAACTTTAATTTTCCCTGTCTTGTCAAAATTTGGCTACTATGGTCCTTAGCCAAAAGTATGAAGAAATAAGCAGGACTAGTATGCTTTTGTTTATAGATTTTATCGACTGAAAATGAACACAGGAAGACAAGTTGCCCACCTGATCTTTTCTCATCCCTTCAATCTACAAATTTTTGTTAAAAGTCCACTATTGAACTGACAACTAAATCTAAACTCTAGCTTCCTCTCTACTATAAAAATCGAAGGGGTTAAACGTATCTCTCAAACTAAATGACTTACCTGCTGTAATTTCAATATGACTGACGTTTTTATTAAACAGGACATGAATTCTGGGCCATCAGAGGGCATGAGGTCCAAGGAGGGTACCCAAGGAGCATTCACACGCTGGGTTTCCCTGCAACAGTGAGGAAAATTGACGCAGCCATCTCCGATAAGGACAAGAAGAAGACATACTTCTTTGTAGAGGACAAATACTGGAGGTAAGACACAGTAGGAATGGCTTTGTCTGAAGGGAAGTTATTTTCTTTCTGGAAGAAAACCCTCCGCCCTTCCCTCCTCCCAGCCTCCCTCTCTACAAGAGGGAGGACAACTGTGGGGACATGCTCACCTTGAAGCAGGCAGCACCTTGAGAGAGCTGTTTCTTAGACACATCTGTTTTGAGTTCCACGTTTAATAGACTGGCCTGTCCTTCTGCACTGTCACCACCTGCCTGGAGTCCCCTCTTCTCTCCTCCATCTCCTGCCCATGCTTCAAGCCCTGGGTTAAGTTACATCTCCACAGAGCCTTCCTGAACTCCCAGCTCAGCTGCCTTTTCTTTTTCTGAAGGAAGATGGGTTGAGCATGCCGGCCAGAAGTTCACTCGCTGTGTCCCTGGGTTATCTTCCTGGCATTAGCATATGATTTGCAAGGGCTTCATTTATGCTCATCTGTCATTTCTTCTGCCTGTCTACGGGAGAGGCAGCGCACAATGACCGTCCTGTTTTATGGGTACAACTCAGGACTCACAGGCAGGCTGGTTCTTGGGTCAGATGCTAAGACATTGGCAGACCATCCATGTTCAGCCAATGGGAAAAACACATTTACTGAGCTTAGCTGCTCACCCTAATCCCTTTGCCTAGGTGGCTGCCACAGAACATTTCAGTGTGCAGGGTGGAGAGGCAGGTACACAGAGGTCAATGACGTTAGAGAACTGTTTTTCTGTTTTTGTTTTTTTGATACAGGATCTATTACATAGCCCAAGCTGTCCTCACACTCGTGCTCTTGCCTATATGTTCTGAGTGCTGAGATTATACGTGTGTGTCACCATGCCCGACAAGAACTAGAAGTTGTATTTTTGATGAGTGATTTGATTCCATTCACTTCACACACACACACACACACACTTATGCCTTTGTGACAGAAAGATGAGGTTCTTTCTGTCCAGGCATAAGATACAGGACAGCGAGCAGCATCTGTTATAGTAGAATATTGCTCCTGTGCCAGTGGAACTATGATTTTAGGAGCTGGGTTTGTAGTGCTATTAAAGTAACATAACTTCTGTACTCATCAATATGCTTGGCATGTGTTGACAGTAGTTGGAGAGTTTGGTAAAATTCCACATGACTTATGATTTGGGTAACTGGCCTCTGTGCAATGCTGAGCTGAGTTTCTTCCACTCCATATAGATTTGATGAGAAGAGACGGTCCATGGAGCCAGGCTTCCCCAGGAAGATAGCTGAAGATTTTCCAGGGGTCGATTCCAAGGTCGATGCTGTCTTTGAAGCATTTGGTGAGAGGATACTTGTTCTGTTGGCAAGGCACACTTGGAACTTTCTATGGTATAGGAAGGAAGAAGAGAATGGAACAATTTTTAATAACAACATTTCTTAAAAACTCACTTCTCTCTCCTCAGATTTCAATTCATCTAGTTTAGTGCCAGTTGTAGGACTGCTTCATATGAGTTATTTTGAATCATAAAGACAATTAACACAAACCTCTGTTTTATGCCACATTGAAACCCAAAGTGCTCAGATATCAGTCCCTCACATGTGGCACTGTCCCCTTTCCTGAGCTGTATCCTAGTATAAAAATCCCAGCAGGCGATGTGGCCAGGCTGAATTCTGGCTGCCTGACCCTCTCCTCCTTCCCATCCTGTCCTTACTTAATCTCAGGGAGATTTTCTCTGTCTTTCCCAAATCACTGACTGGCCACATCGGTGCATTGCAAATACTTGCACCCAAAGCTTAAAAGTAAAAAAAAAAAAACAAAAAAACTTGTGCCTACCGAAGGGAGTGAGTGGAAGTTGACAGTCTTTATTGAAAGGTAACATAGACACCATGTTTGAAGAGAAGGAAAATGTCCTCGGGTGTTTTGAAAGAGCTCTGTGCTTCCCTAGGGCCAGAGATGCCCCCTCAGGGTACAATGTGGAAGAAGGAGAAGTGTTGGGAAGACAGAAAATAAGAAATCACCGTTCTCTTCTGGTTGGAAGAGAACATCCTAAAAATGCAGAATGTGGCTTTGCTACACGATGCTCTCCTGTTCCTTCCTTGTTGAAGGATTGAGGCAAACCCAGGAATGTGCCTGACCCTCAGCTTGTTCACCTATACATGGAGTTAGGTGTACTCACCTCACAGAGATAGTCACAAATTATTTTTGAAAAACTCATAAAATGTTTAACAATGCCCTGGCACTGAGAAGAACTCTGTGAATAGATTCCATTTTCAGATATCTATTATTCTGAGTTTTATCAGTTGCCAACTTTCTTCTTTTAAACAAGTTCTTTTTCTCTTGTCTGTATTTTCAGGGTTTTACTATTTCTTCAGTGGATCTTCACAGTTTGAATTTGACCCAAATGCGAAGAAAGTGACGCATGTTTTGAAGAGTAACAGCTGGTTTCTTTGTTAAGAGAAATGGGGCGAAGGCACAGGGGGCATTTTGAAGGAGGAGAACAGTTCCTCATCTAGTCTCTGTGGGTTGAAGGGGGTTGTTTGCTCCCGTACACACTTTCAGAGGATGTGAGTGACTGCTCTGCATCTTCCCAGTCACTTTCACATTATTTTTTTGGTGGTACTGGGGTTTGAACTCAGAGCCTAGTACTTGCTAGGCAAGTGCTCTACCACTTGAGCCATGGCCCCAGCCCTCATCTCCACATTGTTACAGAGCATTCAAAGGGACTGCTGGCTACTTTCTTCTTTGTCACAGGAGCTTTCATCCACTGGAGACGGGGAAGTGCTCACCAGCAGCAGACAAATGACTGTATCTATTTAGACTATCTGCTTGTTATTTAATAAAGATTTATTGTTTTTTTAATTATGATATCTTGTTTGTTTCAAGAACACACTGTTCTCACCATATGGGCATAGACTGAGCAATAGACAGCCTGCTATTTTGTGCCATTGGGGGTGACTGGTTATGGTCTCCATGGCTCATGTCTTCTGAAGAGAAGCTACCACTTGTCCTTATGCATTCTACAAACAAGAAGCATACCTCCCCCACACAGATATCCTATGTGTTCCCACATACCTAAGGAGAAAGATATAGCGGGCTATGAAGTGAACCCTATAATCACAGAAAATCACCTAGTTCACACATCTCATTTTATAGGTGGGGAAATTAAACTTGCTCATTTTTCCTTTTACTTATATACTCCTTGAGTGGAGCCCCTCCTTGCTTAGCAAACAGATTTCCTTCCCTCTACCCTATTCACCCAGGAGAATATCCTCTTGTGCTCATTTTGTATCTGGCTGTGCCTGCAGGCAAGTGACAATGCTACAACAGGTTTCTCATGCCTAAGTAGCATCTCCAGCAAATGCCCCGTGCCGGGTAAGAGCTCACTCACCCTTTAAGCTTATCCACTCATTTGAGAAGAGTTTACTAATCTTCCATGTACCAGGCATTGTGCTGGTTGCAGACACAGGAACTTGTCCTGCCTTCACTGAGATTACACTCTAGCAAGAAAGAATACAGCAGATAGTCTCAAATGTGAATACGCAGTTGCAAACTAAATAAGAGAAATAAAGAAGAAATAAACTTCCTTGATAGACTGGTTTAACTAGGTGGCTTTAGAAGAACTTTTTGAGAGAATGACATTGCAGGTTGGAGACCAGGTGAGGGGATAACGGTGTTCACTAACGTGATCAGAGATAAGAATGGAGCATATGTAAGCAAGACAGGCAGCAGGGTTCAATAAGGATTAGAAGTCCTGGGTCATTCTGGATTCCCAGGTAGCTTGCTTAAGTACAGGGATGGCTAGTGACTGCCTTTACTGAGCAGGAGGAAGGCATGGTGGAGGGGGAGATTTGTAACAGAAGGACAAGAGTTAGGATGAGTTGCTCAGTTTTGCCAATTGTAGAAATGCCTGAGATAATCAGGTAGGCCAGGAGACAAACTAGTTTGGAACTCAAAAAAGAGGCTATGAATATGGGGAAGTTTTTAGTACTTAGATTGTCCTTAAAGTCACAGGATGAGAAAGTATAGGGAGATTTTAGATGAAACTCTTCTTTTAAAAAAAAAAAAGATTTTGCCAAGAAATTAGTATTTCTTTATTTTAAAAATTGCCTAAATTTATTTAGCTTTTTTTTGACAGTCCTGAGGTTTGAACTCAGGGCCTTGTACTTGCTAGACAGGAGCTCTACCATGTGAGCCACACCCAGTGTCCCATTTAATTTAGTTTTAATGCTACTATGTAGAGACAATACAAATTTAAAAGGTAAAAAAATATGATCCAATGAAAGGCAATTTTTCTCTTACCCTTGTCCCCGATAGCTAGTTCCTTTTCTCAGAGGCAACACTAATTTTTTGCAGTCCTTCCAAAAGTGATTTATGCTTCCAAAGCACTAATATCATGGTTGTAAATAAAAGTAACAGCATGCAAAATCACTATCCTGCCCTTTTTTTTCACCTAACGTATTTTGGCAACCATTCCAAAATATGGGTACATGTATAACTGTGTCATTTTTTATGAAGGTACAGTGAATTTGCTATTAGGCATGCAACGCAGAAGTCCCCAATACAATGAAGGAACACATTTGCCCATGAAAGCCAATGACAATTCTCTTTTAACACGGGATGCAGCTTTAATGCTGTTCACTCCTGAGAAAGATAAGGCAGTGAGTCTCATCAGCGTCAATGTCCTTGTACAACGTGGAAGTGAAATGACTGCTTATGATGCTTCAGTTCGAGCCTGCAGTTTGACACCACATCGCCGTGTGTATACAACTCAGTGCGATTACCTGCAGTTTTCCACTCAGAGAACAAAGTGCCAAGGAAAACTGCTTTGATTCATGAGTCAGTGAAGTCAAATGTCCTCTCCAACTAAATGGTGATGCATATGAGCTACTTGTATTGACATCTACTACTTGATTCTCTCGTGACTGTTAAAAATTACTTGTTTTTCGATTAACCCAGCAAAATTTATCTCATGAGAGTTTTGACCCAACAGTTGAACAACAACGCTGAAGCTCTATGTTCCTGGTAAAACTGATACCCGGTGTTTCTAAGGCACTGAGAGTAAGAAGCAATGCCTAGTCCACGTTTACGTTTCACTGGAATCCTACATGCTCAATTTGTAATGTAAAAATCTTAGTTTCCACTCCTCCAAACTGCTGAAGACACAGCGAGCCACACAGTTGAGACTTCTGTTCTTCACTCTATTTTCTTCCAACAGAAACATTTCTCAAGCATCTAGAATGGGGTTTTCAAAGCCACTTCTTTTGAATAGTCTGATTTCATCAAAATGCTGAAGCAAGGGGACCAGGAAGAGAAAGGAGCTGACACATGAGGTTCTCCTGGTTTCATATTAACTATTATGAGCTAGATCATAAACAACAGATATTTTCTTTGTCCTGGCAGACCTGATTTGTAGTTCTTATGCATGTTTCTGCTTGGTTGGGCAAAAGGAATTTAACAACTTTGTATTTACTGAACACCTGTTTTGTGTCAGGCACTGGATTGGAGCCGGGTATATACTATTCATTTATTCCTCATAACAGACTTGGGTTGGTGGTTTTTTCAATAGTGCACAAATATGAACTTGGAGTGACTGAGTGGTTTTTCTGTGGTCACCTGGTAAGTACTATGGTCAGGTTCTAATTTTATATCATCCTGGTTTCAAGGATTCCATTCTTATTTTGTCTAGGGTAATAGACAATAAACCAGCCTGGTGGCCTTATCTTACTTAGTTTTGACTCCATTCTGAAGCAGAGGCTCTGCAACTTACTGCATGACCACAATGGGGTTGGATCTTTCTCAATCTTATAATTTAAAATTTCCACAACCCAAGAGCCAGGATTCCTCCATCTGCATCAGACATATAACCCTGTTAAATCACAGGTTATACACAGAGAAGAGTATCGGTTTATATCACTTAAAAGTACAGGATCAAGGCAGATTTTTGTGATAGACAAAGGGAAATTAACATCTGCTCTTATTCTGTCTGTAAATTCTTATTCCTGAAGGGTGTGTGTGTGTGTGTGTGTGTGTGTTGACAAGTCATTCATCATCAGCATTTGCTTGGCACCAACCAGAGGCCAGGCATGAAGCCCATTTCAAGACTAGACCAGCCCTATGGGTGACATGATGCTGAGTCCCTGAATGGTGTTTAATAACTGGCTCAGTCCCCTTGCCTTGGGCAGCTTTGGCCCTAAGTATGTGCAGTTCTCTTGCAGTGACAGGAAGTGATCCAGTGAGTGAGGCTGGGAAAGGAGAAGGAAAGCAGAAGCTGAGCGTCGGATTGGGACTTGGTCATAAACCATCAGAATAGTGGATGTGCCACAGATGAAGAAATAAATGATGACCATGCAGAATCTTGCCAGTCAGTGAACAGCTGGATTACAATCTCAGAAGCATTTATGAAGTCAAATAAATTTGAGTACTATCATCCTGGAAGCAGCACCAATGTCCTTAAAAGCACAGCTGGTAATCCACATGCATAACTGAAATGCCATATTGGACCTGAAATAGGGATGATTTCCCCTTTAGTTGGAGACAAAATTGGCCATTTCTAGAAGGAAGATCTGTATATATGGAGAAAGAGAGAGACAGAGACAGAATATCAGATACAATATTGAGACTTTTACTTAAGCAGTGTTGTTATGCAGTGATGTGCTTTAGTCAGTCTGCTGTTTTGAAGACTTTTTTATGTTTTTAAGATGTTTGAAAAGTATATGAGAAATGCATTCACTTCTTTGATTTATTAGATTAATAGGAATTATTTGAGTGTTTAGAAATACTCTGCTTGTTGTATTTTAAATCTGCAAAATAGATTTGAATTATTTGAAAGAATTAGCTACATTAAAGTCATAATTATAATTTGAGGTACTGATGAAAATGTTATTTATGAATACAAACTGCATTGAATGATTAAGGATAATTTATATTTTAACTATATGAATTGATTAAGTATGGAAGAGCTAGAAAAAGTGATTATACAAACATAATACATTAGTAAATCAAATGACAAGGTCAGAAAGTTGAACTTAAGAGCTGGGAGCATGGTTCACGTGGTAAAGCACTTGCCTAGCAAGTACAAGATCCTGAGTTCCAACCCCAATATTGCCAAAAAACAAAAAGAAGTTGAATCCAAACACTTGACAAAACTTAACTTTTTAGGAAATTATAATAGAAGTAAAACTCTATAGGTATGCAAAAAAGAAACTCCCTTGGATGCTAACAAATCTAACAGAAAAGCTAACATATGTTACTAGTCCTATTTTAACACAGAAGAAAAACAAATGTTTTATATATTTTATCTCATTGAATTCTCACCTATGAGGTAGACATTATTAAACCCATTTTACAAATATAGGGCTGATTGCTGCTGTTCAGAGAGGTTGTGCAACGTCTTCAAGGTCAAACAGAAAGTAAATGGCAGAGTCAGGGATTTAATCTGTCTTGCCTGACATCAA